GTTATCCAATCGTCCTCTCACATGGAACATCTCTTGGGACGCAATGTTCTTCTCATCTAAGGCTTTGTTATAGTCTGTAAGGACGGCAGCACACGTGTCATTAAGATTATCTATGAAGGGTTGACAGTCATGCATGCTATAGTTAAGAGTTTGAATCATGAGTTTTACCTGTTCGACGATGCTTAGAGTTCCATCCTTTGACATGTAGCAGTAGTTCTTTTCAAACTTTGTAGACCCATCGTCATCAGCAGTTGCCAGCATGCAGATTTTCCCTTTCCTTTAATACTGCTGATGGTTTCTTCTTCATCTCCAGATGACCAAACTTGGTGGTCTCTTTTGACATGGGCTACGTATGCCCTTGCCTTTTCCTTATCTTCCAATTCTTGAGCCATTCTAAGGTAGAATGCTCTGTCTTTTACTACATTGGCCTTACAATCTCTTGCAAAATGATTCTCTTTGTTGCATTTGTGACAAATCACAACATCAGTTTTGTCTTCTGAGGGAGTACCGGAGTCAGTGGTTTGAGTAGACTGCGGTGCCTCCTTTGGTTGAGTATTTTGAGATTGCGGTGGTGGATGAGAACTTTTGGGATAACGAGAATGGTTATTCTGCGGGTTGAAGTTACGGTTGAATGGAGGTTTGTTGAACTGCTGATTCTTGCGAAAGGAAGGAGGTGGTAGTCGATTGAACTGTTGGCTAACCAGAGCAATAGCCTTCTGAAATTCTTCTTCATCATCATACTCTAAGTCAGCTTCGTATGACTGCGGAGGAGTGTCATACGAGGGAGAGTAGGATTGATTATGTGGAGCTTGTGCTATGAGAGCAAGTGGTCCTCCGAAGTCTGCACAGTCTTTGTGTACGGTGGATTCTTGTGCTTGCAGTTCTCCGTAGAGCTTGTAGAGAGACAAAGAGTGAATTTTTCTATCTCCTTGGACTATCATCTTAGCCGTAGTCCAATGTCTTCCCAAACCATTAAGAAACTGAAGATTTGTTTCATGGTTACTGCGGATGGTGCCTGCATTGGATAACTTCGTGACTATCAAGTTAAACCTTTTGAAGGAATCTTCCAAACTTTCTCCAGTAAGAGCTTTGAAATTGTTGAACTCATTGAGTGCGGTTGTAAGCTTCTTAGATTCTTGAGAACTTCCCAGATCTCTTTTGCTGATTTGCAATTTATGATAATATCGAAGTTGTCAGGAGCAACTCCACAAGAGATTTCATAAAAAGCAACAACATCATTTTCCATTTTATCGAGATCATCCTTGGTGGGACGGTTCATGACTGGTTGACCTCCTCCTAGTCTGGCTGTAGCGCCGTCAGTTTGGACTGGTGTAAGAACTGGGACATGTGGTCCTTCTTCTACGGATCGCCATACATCTCTACCAAGTCTCCTTAAGTATCTTTCCATTCTCTGAGACCAGTG